ACCGGGAAAGAAAAGACCTCCCCGGGCAAGGGAGACCGAGCAGACGTCAAGAGACCCTCAGATAACCTAAGACCAGAAGGAGACTTCATCGCTCCGGACAAGACCTCACCGGGCGTTGGCGACCGCGCGGCCGTCAGGAGACCACAGGACAACCTAGCTCCGTCTGGCGATTTCGAGGGTAAGTGCTTTTCAACATTATATACACGCCGTTTTTAACATTGGAACGAATAACTTTACATTATTTACATGTCTCTTTGTGTGATATTATTAAAACACACACACACACACACAGACACACACACACACACACACATACACACACACACACACACACACACACACACACACACACACACACACACACACACACACACACACACACACACACACACACACACACACTCACTCACACACACACTCACACACCACACACACACACACACACACACACACACACACACACACACACACACACACACACACACACACACACACACACACACACACACACATACAGTCATTTCATCTTCGGTATCATTCTTTAACAACAGCTCTCTTTCTTTCCACAGGTGTCAGCACAAGTAAAGACCAATACATTGTTGTCCAGGGAGATCGAGCCGATGTAAAGCGCTACCAAGATTCTCTGAAAGTCGACGGGGAGTTTACCAGTGTCACTTCCAGCAAAGAGTCTTTCCAGAAACACGAATCCATCTCACACTCGGAGCGCGTTGTGCACCAGGACAACATCAGACTCGAGGGTGACATGGAAACGATGAGAACGTCCTCGCAAAGTGAGTACATTGAGAGGGCAGGCGACAGGCCCAAGTTACAAAGGAAGAAGACCTGGACCAAGCTGGAGGGAGAAATGTACATGAACAGGTCCAGCGATGAATACCAGTCCTATCAACAGACTGAGAGGAGTCAGGTTATCAGGCATGAAGACAACCTTAAAATGGAAGGTGTTATGGAAGGACTTACTAAGGATACTTCACCAATGAAGGGTGAAAGAGCACCAGCCAAGCGACATCCTGACAACCTGAAACTGGAAGGAAACTTTGAAGGAAAGTCACCAGAAGGTGCTCCTCTGGGAGAGAGAGCACCAATGAAGAAATATCCTGACAATTTGAAGCTTGAAGGTGACTTTGAAGGGAAACCTCAGGATGGAGTACCAATGGGTGACAGGGCTCCAATGAAGCGATATCCAGATAACTTAAAGTTATCTGGTGATTTTGAAGGTCGCCCAGAAGAGGGAGCTCCTATTGGCCAAAGAGAATCCATCCAAAGGTATCCTGATAATCTCAGGATGGAGGGTGAATTCACAGGACGTTCCCGAAGCCGCAGTCCTGTCAAGGGTGAGCGGTCCATGATCAAACGTCATCCTGATAATCTAAAAATGGAAGGGACCTTCGAGGGCATGGAACGAAGTAGAAGCCCAACAAAGGGAGAGCGAGTACCAACTAAGAAGCATCCTGACAACCTTAGGGTCGAGGGAGATTTTCTCGGGAAGTCGCCTGAAGCTGCTCCTAAGGGTGAGCGAGCAGCAATCAAAAAGCATCCGGATAATCTAAAAATTGAAGGAGACTTTGAGCCAAAACCCAGAGGTCGAAGCCCAACAAAGGGTGAAAGGGCCAAAACTAAGAAACATCCTGATAACTTAAAGGTGGAAGGAGATTTTGAAGGAAAACCAAGGGAAGCAGCACCTAAAGGAGACAGGGCAGCTATAAAGAAACATGAAGATAACCTGAAGATGGAAGGCACACACACAATGAGGGAGAGGAGCAAGAGCCCGGTCAAAGGGGAGAGAGCTCCAATCAAAAAGCATCCTGACAACCTAAAACTTCAAGGAGACTTCGAAGGGAAGCCTCATGATGAAGCTCCACTTCGAGGTGAGAGGGCCAAAGTCATTCGACATGCAGACCAATTGCACATGGAAGGAGATTTCAATATGGAGAAGAAGGAACAGGTAACATTCAAGGGGGAGAGAGTTGAAATTACAAGGCATGAAGATAATTTGAGGATGGAGGGAAGCTTTACAGGGAAAGAAACTGAATATCAGCAGTTCAAGGGAGAAAGAAGTAAAGTTGTAAGACATGAGGATAACCTTCGAATGCAAGGAGACTTTATCGGCAAGGAATATGAAGAAGTGACTATTGGAGAACGGGCACCAGTTAAAAGACACCCAGACAATTTGCGAATGGAAGGAGACTTCCAAGCTCCAAAACCAGGTGAAGCTCCAAGAGGGGAAAGAGCCCCTGTTAGACGCCACCCTGACAACCTAAAAATGACTGGAGACTTCCAAGGAAAAGAAGAAGATTACAGAATTGTACGTGGAGAAAGAGTAGAGGTTGTCCGGCGTGAGGACAACTTGCGCATGGAAGGAGAATTCATAGGTAAGGAGTATGAGGAAGTTATTGTAGGTGAAAGAGCACCAGTAAAAAGACACCCAGACAATCTTCGAATGGATGGAGACTTTTATGCCCCTGGTCCTGAAGATGCTCCACGTGGAGAAAGAGCTCCTGTTAAGAAACATCCTGATAACCTTAAGCTAGGTGGAGACTTCCAAGGAAAACCTCGTGAAGATGCTCCATATGCTGAAAGAGCTCCAGTGAAGAAACACCCAGACAATCTTCGAATGGATGGAGACTTCTATGCCCCAACTCCTGAGGATGCTCCTCGTGGTGAGAGGGCCCCAGTAAAACGTCATCCAGATAATTTACGCATGACTGGAGATTTTATTGGTAAGGAAGAAGAGTACATTAACAGGCGGGGAGAGAGAGTTGAAATTGTGCGTCGTGAGGACAATCTCCGAATGGAGGGAGAATTTATTGGCAAAGAATATGAACAGGTAACAATTGGAGAGAGGGCTCCTGTCAAGAAGCATCCTGACAACCTAAAGATGGTCGGTGACTTTGAAGGAAAGCCTCGTGAAGATGCTCCTTATGCTGAAAGAGCTCCTGTTAAGAAACACCCAGACAACCTTCGAATGGATGGAGCCTTTTATGCTCCTACACCTGAAGATGCTCCTCGAGGTGAAAGAGCGCCTGTAAAACGTCATCCAGATAACTTACGCATGACTGGAGACTTCATAGGCAAGGAAGAAGAATACACTATCAAGCGAGGAGAGAGAGTGGAAGTTGTTCGACGTGAGGACAATCTGCGCATGGAGGGAGAGTTTATTGGCAAAGAGTATGAACAGGTAACAATTGGAGAAAGAGCCCCAGTCAAGAAGCATCCTGACAATCTCAAAATGGTTGGAGATTTTGAAGGAAAGCCACGTGAAGATGCTCCATATGCTGAAAGAGCACCAGTAAAGAAACATCCAGACAATCTCCGTATGGATGGAGACTTCTATGCTCCAACACCAGAGGATGCACCACGTGGTGAGAGAGCACCTGTAAAACGTCATCCAGACAACTTACGTATGACTGGAGACTTCATTGGCAAGGAAGAAGAATACACAATCAAACGAGGAGAGAGAGTGGAAGTTGTCCGACGTGAGGATAATCTTCGTATGGAGGGAGAATTTATTGGCAAAGAGTATGAACAAGTAACAATAGGAGAAAGGGCCCCAGTTAAAAAGCATCCCGACAATCTCAAGATGGTTGGAGACTTTGAAGGAAAGCCCCGTGAAGATGCTCCATATGCTGAAAGAGCTCCTGTTAAGAAACACCCAGATAATCTTCGAATGGATGGAGACTTCTATGCTCCCACCCCAGAAGATGCACCACGTGGTGAAAGGGCTCCAGTCAAGAAACATCCTGACAATCTTAAGCTAGGTGGAGACTTCCAAGGAAAGCCTCGTGAAGATGCTCCATATGCTGAAAGAGCTCCTGTCAAGAAACACCCAGACAATCTTCGAATGGATGGAGATTTCTATGCTCCCACCCCAGAAGATGCACCACGTGGTGAAAGGGCTCCAGTCAAGAAACATCCTGACAATCTTAAGCTAGGTGGAGACTTCCAAGGAAAGCCACGTGAAGATGCTCCATATGCAGAGAGAGCTCCAGTCAAGAAACACCCAGACAATCTTCGAATGGATGGAGACTTCTATGCTCCTACTCCTGGAGATGCTCCACGTGGTGAAAGGGCTCCAATCAAGAAACATCCTGACAATCTTAAAATGGTTGGAGACTTTGAAGGAAAGCCTCGTGAAGACGCTCCATATGCTCAGAGAGCTCCAGTGAAGAAACACCCAGACAACTTGCGAATGGATGGAGACTTCTATGCTCCTTCTCCAGAAGATGCTCCTAGAGGGGAAAGAGCTCCTGTTAAGAAACATCCTGATAACCTTAAGCTAGGTGGAGACTTCCAAGGAAAGCCTCGTGAAGATGCTCCTTATGCTGAAAGAGCTCCTGTCAAGAAACACCCAGATAATCTTCGTATGGACGGAGACTTCTATGCTCCTACACCTGAAGATGCTCCCAGAGGAGAAAGAGCACCTGTTAAACGACATCCTGATAATCTTCGCATGACAGGAGACTTCATTGGTAAAGAAGAAGAGTATACTATTAAACGAGGAGAGAGAGTAGAAGTTGTTAGGCGTGAAGACAATCTCCGTATGGAGGGAGAGTTTATTGGGAAGGAATATGAGCAGGTCACTGTAGGGGAAAGGGCACCAGTCAAGAAACATCCTGATAATCTTAAGATGGTCGGAGATTTTGAAGGGAAACCACGTGAAGAAGCTCCTTATGCTCAAAGAGCTCCAGTCAAGAAACACCCTGACAATCTTCGAATGGATGGGGACTTTTATGCTCCATCACCAGAAGATGCACCACGTGGTGAGAGAGCACCTGTAAAACGTCATCCAGATAACTTACGCATGACAGGAGACTTCATAGGCAAGGAAGAAGAATACACTATCAAGCGAGGAGAAAGAGTGGAAGTTGTCCGACGTGAGGACAATCTTCGTATGGAGGGAGAATTTATTGGCAAAGAGTATGAACAGGTAACAATTGGAGAAAGAGCCCCAGTCAAGAAGCATCCTGACAATCTCAAAATGGTTGGAGACTTTGAAGGAAAGCCTCGTGAAGATGCTCCTTATGCAGAGAGAGCTCCAGTCAAGAAACACCCAGACAACCTTCGAATGGATGGAGACTTCTATGCTCCAACTCCTGGAGATGCTCCTCGTGGTGAAAGGGCTCCAATCAAGAAACATCCTGACAATCTGAAGATGGTTGGAGACTTTGAAGGAAAGCCTCGTGAAGATGCTCCATATGCAGAGAGAGCTCCAGTCAAGAAACACCCAGACAACCTTCGAATGGATGGAGACTTCTATGCTCCAACTCCTGGAGATGCTCCTCGTGGTGAAAGGGCTCCAATCAAGAAACATCCTGACAATCTTAAGATGGTTGGAGACTTTGAAGGAAAGCCTCGTGAAGACGCTCCATATGCAGAGAGAGCTCCAGTCAAGAAACACCCAGACAATCTTCGAATGGATGGAGATTTCTATGCTCCTACTCCTGGAGATGCTCCTCGTGGTGAAAGAGCTCCATTCAAGAAACATCCTGACAATCTCAGAATGGTTGGAGACTTTGAAGGAAAGCCTCGTGAAGATGCTCCATATGCAGAGAGAGCTCCAGTCAAGAAACACCCAGACAACCTTCGAATGGATGGAGACTTCTATGCTCCAACACCAGAGGATGCACCACGTGGTGAGAGAGCACCTGTAAAACGTCATCCAGATAACTTACGCATGACTGGAGACTTCATTGGCAAGGAAGAAGAATACACAATCAAACGAGGAGAGAGGGTGGAAGTTGTTCGGCGTGAGGACAATCTTCGCATGGAAGGAGAATTCATTGGTAAGGAGTATGAACAAGTCACAGTAGGAGAAAGAGCCCCAGTCAAGAAACATCCTGACAATCTTAAGATGGTTGGAGACTTTGAAGGAAAGCCTCGTGAAGATGCTCCTTATGCAGAGAGAGCTCCAGTAAAGAAACACCCAGACAATCTTCGAATGGATGGAGACTTCTATGCTCCTACCCCAGAAGATGCTCCTCGAGGTGAAAGAGCTCCTGTCAAGAAGCATCCTGACAATCTAAAGATGGTTGGAGACTTTGAAGGAAAGCCTCGTGAAGATGCTCCATATGCAGAGAGAGCTCCAGTCAAGAAACACCCAGACAATCTTCGTATGGATGGAGATTTCTATGCTCCTACTCCTGGAGATGCTCCTCGTGGTGAGAGGGCTCCAATCAAGAAACATCCTGACAATCTCAGAATGGTTGGAGACTTTGAAGGAAAGCCTCGTGAAGATGCTCCATATGCAGAGAGAGCTCCAGTCAAGAAGCATCCTGACAACCTTCGAATGGATGGAGACTTCTATGCTCCAACTCCTGAGGATGCTCCTCGTGGTGAAAGAGCTCCAGTCAAGAAACATCCTGACAATCTCAGAATGGTAGGAGACTTTGAAGGAAAGCCTCGTGAAGATGCTCCTTATGCAGAGAGAGCTCCAGTCAAGAAACACCCAGACAATCTTCGTATGGATGGAGATTTCTATGCTCCAACTCCTGGAGATGCTCCTCGTGGTGAAAGGGCTCCAATCAAGAAACATCCTGACAATCTTAAGATGGTTGGAGACTTTGAAGGAAAGCCTCGTGAAGATGCTCCATATGCAGAGAGAGCTCCAGTCAAGAAACATCCTGACAACCTCCGAATGGATGGAGATTTCTACGCTCCAACTCCTGGAGATGCTCCTCGTGGTGAAAGGGCTCCAATCAAGAAACATCCTGACAATCTCAGAATGGTTGGAGACTTTGAAGGAAAGCCTCGTGAAGATGCTCCATATGCAGAGAGAGCTCCAGTCAAGAAACATCCTGACAACCTCCGAATGGATGGAGATTTCTACGCTCCAACTCCTGGAGATGCTCCTCGTGGTGAAAGGGCTCCAATCAAGAAACATCCTGACAATCTCAGAATGGTTGGAGACTTTGAAGGAAAACCACGTGAAGATGCTCCTTATGCTGAAAGAGCTCCTGTTAAGAAACACCCAGACAACCTTCGAATGGATGGAGACTTCTATGCACCATCACCTGAAGATGCACCTCGTGGTGAGAGAGCACCTGTAAAACGTCATCCAGATAACCTACGCATGACTGGAGACTTTATTGGTAAAGAAGAAGAATACACTATCAAGCGAGGAGAGAGAGTGGAAGTTGTTCGCCGAGAAGATAACCTACGTATGGAGGGAGAATTCATTGGAAAGGAATATGAGCAAGTCACAGTAGGAGAAAGAGCACCCATCAAGAAACATCCTGACAATCTTAAAATGGTTGGAGACTTTGAAGGAAAGCCTCGTGAAGAAGCTCCTTATGCAGAGAGAGCCCCGGTTAAAAAGCACCCAGACAATCTTCGGATGGATGGAGACTTCTATGCTCCTACTCCTGGAGATGCTCCTCGTGGTGAAAGGGCTCCAATTAAAAAGCATCCTGATAATCTCAGAATGGTTGGAGACTTTGAAGGAAAGCCTCGTGAAGACGCTCCATATGCAGAGAGAGCTCCAGTCAAGAAACACCCAGACAATCTTCGTATGGATGGAGACTTCTATGCTCCTACTCCTGGAGATGCTCCTCGTGGTGAAAGGGCTCCAATTAAAAAGCATCCTGATAATCTCAGAATGGTTGGAGACTTTGAAGGAAAGCCTCGTGAAGACGCTCCATATGCAGAGAGAGCTCCAGTCAAGAAGCATCCTGATAACCTCCGAATGGATGGAGACTTCTATCACCATCCCCTGAATGCTCCTCGTGTGAAAGAGCTCCTTCAAGAAACATCCTGACAATCTCAGAATGGTTGGAGATTTGAAGGAAGCCTCGTGAATGGGCTCATATGCGAGAGAGCTCCAGTCAAGAACATCCTGACAATCTCGGATGGATGAGATTTCTATGCTCCTACTCCTGGAGATGCTCCTCGTGGTGAAAGGGCTCCAATCAAGAAGCATCCTGACAATCTCAGAATGGTTGGAGACTTTGAAGGAAAGCCTCGTGAAGACGCTCCATATGCAGAGAGAGCTCCAGTCAAGAAACATCCAGACAATCTCCGAATGGATGGAGACTTCTACGCTCCAACACCTGAAGATGCACCACGTGGTGAGAGAGCACCAGTGAAACGTCATCCCGATAACTTGCAAATGACTGGTGAGTTTGTTGGCAAAGAAGAGGAATTCATATTCAAGCGGGGAGAGAGGGTTGATGTTGTTCGCCGAGAAGACAATCTGCGGATGGAAGGAGAATTTATTGGCAAAGAACATGAGCAAGTAACTGTGGGAGAGAGGGCTCCAGTGAAGAGACATCCTGACAACCTTCGAATGGATGGTGACTTCTACGCTCCAACTCCAGAAGATGCACCAAAAGGTGAAAGAGCACCTGTAAAACGTCATCCAGACAACCTTCGTATGACAGGGAAATTCGAAGGAAAGGAAGAGGAACACGTTTTTACTCGAGGGGAAAGAGCAGAAATTGTGCGTAGAGAAGACAACCTCCATATGGTAGGAGAATTTATTGGTAAAGAATATGAAGAGGTTAAAATTGGTGAAAGGGTATCTGTGAAGAAACATGAAGATAATCTTAGAATGGATGGACAATTCTATGCTCCAACCCCAGAAGATGCTCCACGTGGTGAAAGGGCTCCAATCAAGAAACATCCTGACAACCTTAGAATGGTTGGAGACTTTGAAGGAAAGCCTCGTGAAGATGCTCCATATGCAGAGAGAGCTCCAGTCAAGAAACACCCAGACAATCTTCGTATGGATGGAGACTTCTATGCTCCAATCAAGAAACATCCTGACAATCTCAGAATGGTTGGAGACTTGTGAAGTAAAGCCTCGTGAAGACGCTCCATATGCAGAGAGAGCTCCAGTCAAGAAAGCATCCTGACAACCTTCGAATGGGGATGGAGATTTCTATGCTCCAACTCCTGGAGATGCTCCTCGTGGTGAAAGGGCTCCAGTCAAGAAACATCCTGACAATCTCAGAATGGTTGGAGACTTTGAAGGAAAGCCTCGTGAAGATGCTCCATATGCTGAGAGAGCTCCAGTCAAGAAGCATCCTGACAATCTTCGAATGGATGGAGACTTCTATGCTCCTACTCCTGGAGATGCTCCTCGTGGTGAAAGGGCTCCAGTCAAGAAACATCCTGACAATCTCAGAATGGTTGGAGACTTTGAAGGAAAGCCACGTGAAGATGCTCCATATGCAGAAAGAGCTCCAGTAAAGAAACACCCAGACAATCTTCGAATGGATGGAGACTTCTATGCTCCATCACCTGAAGATGTTCCTCGTGGAGAAAGAGCTCCAGTTAAGAAGCATCCTGACAATCTCAGGCCAGAAGGAGATTTCATGGGACGGCCAAGAGATCAACAGCCTCTTATTGGTGACAGAGCCCACATTAGGAAGCTAGAAGATAATCTGCACATGGAAGGTGACTGGATTGGCCAATCAAGTACACACTATGATTATCCAGTTGTAAGTGGAGTGCGTCAGGAGGTGTACAGGCACTCAGACAATTTGAAACAAGAAGGGGAATTCATGGGTAAAACACATTTCACTGATGACTACCAGCTCCATCAGGTACAGCGCTCACAAGCAGTCAAGCACAAAGACAATCTGACTATTGAAGGAAAATATCACCTTGAGACATTGCAAAAGGATGCATACAAGATCCATAAAGGTGTTCGAGCTGAAATAAAGAAACACAGTGATAATCTCCACCTTGAAGGAGATTTTACTGGACGTCCAAATGAGTTAGCACCTCTTAAGGGAGATCGAGCATCCATTGTACGCCATCCCGATCACCTAAGACCTGCTGGAGAATTTGAGGGAAAGCCCACAGAAGAAGCACCACGAGGAGAGCGTGCCCCTGTCAAGAAACATCCAGATAATCTTAAGATGGAGGGTACCTTTGAAGGGAAACCACTCGACGAGAGTCCGCTGAGGGGAGAGAGAGCTACCATCAAGAAACACGAAGATTCTCTGAAGATGGAAGGCAGCTTTGAGGGTCGACATGTATCTGCAGTTAAACGAGGTGAACGTGCAGAAATTCAGAAACACACCGACACCTTGAAAATGGAGGGAGATATGACATTCATTCGTGAAGAAGCTGCTACAAGAGGAGAGAGGGCAGAGATCAGCAGACATGCAGACAACTTAAAGATGGAAGGAGATTTAGAAATAACAAAGAAGACATTTGCTACTAAAGGAGAAAGAGCCACAACTCAGAAGTATGAGGATACCTTGAAAATGGAGGGAGACATGCTGATCACTAAGAAGGAAATGGTGACTAAAGGAGAGAGAGCAGAGATAAAGAAACACAAGGACAGCCTTAAAATCGACGGGGAATTCGAAGGAAAGAAAAAGTCTGCAGTCCTGCGAGGAGAACGAGCAGAAGTAAAGAAACATAAGGACAATCTAAAAATGGAGGGTGACATGAATATTGAAAAGAGAACTTCTGTAGTCAAGGGTGAACGAGCGACTATCAAAAGGCATGAAGATTCATTAAAACTTGAGGGTGACATGACCTTTACAAAAGAAGAGAGCATTGGAAGGGGAGAAAGAGCACATATCAAGAAGCATGAAGATACATTGAAAATGGAAGGATCGTTTGAAGGACGAAGGAAATCTGCTGCAGCTGGCAAGGGTGAAAGGGCAGATGTGAAGAAGCCTAAGGATAACCTGAAGACAGAGGGTGAGTTTAGAACCACTCGGAAGTCTGCTGTGACAAAAGGTGAGCGTGCAGAGATAAAGAAACATGAAGACAATTTGAAGATGGAAGGAAAGCTTGAGATAACGAAGGAAACCTCGTCGGTTGTCAAAGGTGAAAGAGCTGAGATAAAGAAGCATGAAGACTCTCTGAAAATGGAAGGCTCTTTCGAAGGAAGGAGAAAGAGTGCAGCAACCTTCAAAGGAGAACGAGTTGAAATCCGAAAACACGAAGATCATCTGAAAATGGAAGGGACTTTCGAAGGATTCCAGAGGACAAGTACACCTACTAAAGATGGTGTGAAAAGAAATGAAACCTTCAAAGTAAAGGGCGAACGAGCACAAGTCAAGAAACATGAAGACAACCTGAAGATGGAAGGAGAGTTCTATGCACAATCTCCGAACATTAGCCCTATTAAAGGAGACCGAGCAGACGTGAAAAAGCCAAAAGATAACTTGAGTGTGACGGGGCCCTTTGAAGGCAGACCTAAAGAAGGACCTGGAGTTGGAGAACGTCCACCACCATACAAATATGATGATAATCTCAAAATGGAGGGTGACTTCGAAGGTAGGAGAAGAGGATCACCTGGAAAGGGTGAACGTCTTCCTCAGAAGAGGCATCCTGACAATCTCAAGATGGAAGGGAGTATGGATGGACGTACAAAAGAAAGCCCTGGAACAGGGGAAAGACTTCCTCAGAAGCGGTACCCAGATAACCTTAAGCTAGATGGAAGCTTTGAGGGTAAAACCAAAGAAAGTCCAGGTGCTGGTGAAAGACTGCCACAGAAAAGATACCCTGATAACCTCAAGGTCGAAGGTGACTTTGCGGGTCGTCCCAAAGGTAGTCCAGGAGCAGGTGAACGGCTACCTCAGAAGCGCTATCCCGACAACCTGAAGATGGAAGGAGACTTTGAAGGTCGGCGACGATCTTCTTCAGGCAAAGGAGACAGAGCTTCACCCACGAAATATGAAGACAGTCTGAAACTTGAAGGAGAGTTTACAGGATCCAGAAGAGAGAGTGCAGTTGTTAATGGGAAAGCAGAGGTTCAGCAATCACAAGTTAGTGTAGCTGGAAGTAGTGGTAAGATCCGACGTGACACTGTAGTGCTGAAATCTGGAGAATCCATGGCAACTAAATTAGCATCGGAATCTGTAACCTCCAAGACAGAAGAATCATCCTCAATTCAGAAGTCCAGTTCTGCAAAGAGTGACACAAGCACTAACAAAGATGTGAGGACAGTCGAGTCATACACAGCCGATGGGCGTAAAGTCACCCGAATAATAACCAAAGAAAGCAGGGAAACAAAGTCAGCCACACGTGCCGAGTCCAGGGCTACCAGTGTAAAGTCCACTACTGAAGAACGTAAGATATCATCTGCTGAGGCCAAGCTTGAAGCTTCTTCTTCGCTGAGTACATCCCATGCCAGAGGGACAAAGGAAAAATCTCCCACACCTGCAACAACGCCTACTGGTCGTGGTCGCCATAACCAGTCCTCTTTCTCCTTAGGTGAGGATTCCAGTAAGATGGAAACAACCACACGTTCAACAGGTATGAAACATTCCACATCTAAGAGCAACATCAATTTAGGTCTTGAAATCAGTAAAGGAGAATCCACAGCCACAACACGAGAGATGGCTTCATCCCTACGACAAGCAGAAGCTCTAGACCTCCGAGGCAGCACCAAGGTAGATGCCTCTTCCTCCTCCTCCGCGTCTCATGGCGCCACCCATTCCTCACACATCGCCGGCAGCAGCCAAGAAGAATATCGCAAGTGGTCCGCCAACCATCAGCAACAGAGCGAGCAGAGGCGAGTGTCCTCCAGCAGCTCGGCCAGCAACCGCGTAGAGCAGCGAGTGACGAGAGGGCGTGGCAACGCGTCGTCCATCACCTTCCACTCCGAGTACGACCCCTGGAGGGACGCCACCATCACCCGGCGGGGGGAGTGGCAGATCGTGACCCCGTGCCCCGCCTCCCTGCTCGACACCCGCGCCTCCAACTACAGACCGAAGGAGAACGCGCCCAAACCCAAGGAGCACAAGTTTTACCTCCCCATAGTTGAGTGAGTGTGAGGCTTCCGTAGACAAAAGGACTTAATTTGAAAAACCGTTTAAACTATGAAGACAAACCGCCTTACATGATCCAAGTAAAAGGTCATGTTAGATATTAATGATTCCTTTTATTTTTGCACAGTAATGCTCATTTAACCTGTGATGTTGACTGCCTTAAGACTGATTCTCCAGTGTTTCTACAGTAGGAAATGCTTAAGCTGTGATTACTTCAAAAAGTAAGAAAAAGGGTATACACTTGAAGATTATATACAGAGCAGCTGTAATATTCTTGTATGTGACATTTCGACGAAGTGCTTTTGAAGTTGTTACATCCCATGCCATTTTTACTTATTTTTATAATCTAGAATAAGACTGTAGCATTTTTTCTCAATCAAAACGAACGAAGACAATAGTCTGTGCTTTCTGTACTATTAGTGGGAAACTTTTTAACTCGAAAGGGATAATATACACACACATATTATATACAACATATATAAATATATATTTTTTATCACAGTGTTCAACTTTTAACGCAAAAGAGAAAAAAAAGCAGAAACAAAGAGTAGTTCTTAGCAGGCGTTCCGTTTGCCTTTGCGTCTCGGGATTTAGGGGACATCTCCTGGGACGTGACGGCAAACAACGCCTTCGGGCCTCTGTCTCCGGCCTGGACCTCCGCCAAGCCCAGGGCAGACGGCTCGGCCCAGGCATGTTGTGACCTGCCGATTCATGCCTTTGGTCTAACCAACCCGTGTTTTGTACATCCCCTCTTGTCGCCAAAAGAATGGATATGGGAAGTGGGAAAAGGAGGATAGATATCTAGGCGCGTATCTAGATATTTAAGTGCATATGAAGTTATCTAAAGAAATATGTCTTTAGTCCAGAACCGAAAGATTTTATTTTTTTGTAAGTTTCTCTCCTTTTCCCATTGTCTGTTTCCTCGTCTCCAGCGACGGAAGGAGTTAGCTATAGTTTCTATATATTTAAAAGAAAGAAATTTGGTGCTTGGTTGTGTATTTTTGTTTTGTTTTAGTACTGTTTAACGAATATAACAGAAATGTAACGATGCATTTTTAAAATGAATTTACCCATTAAAGACAATGTGTGAATTTAAAGTGTTTGGTATACTGATATTAGTATGATTTCTATCAATCAATTTGAATTATTTATTTTCTATTTTATCGTTTTTGTTAATAGTATATATATATATATGCATTTTATTGAATGAGTTCGAGGTTTCCACTGTAGTGTTAGTCGGAAAACCGAATTATATGTTTGTTGGTGCCATAAGACAGATGAAAGCGAGGAGCTCTAACCTCGTTTTCAAACAAGTATATCGATTGTTCACAACAGCAACGGGCAGAAAAAAAATGAAAATGAAAAGAAAAGATGAATATCGCAAAAGAAAAACAAAGCGAAAGAATAAAAATGACCCAAGCTTGAGACAAGGCAATAAATTCAAATTTATTGATCCTGTGTCTTCAAAAAGACTGGGATAAGATCCGTCCTTATAACACCCCCACCCACCCCTCACCCACCAACACCCACCAACACCCCCGACCACAATCCCACCTACATTAATATCTTCCATCTTGCAAACCACATTATATGTAGCATACACCGTGTTTGTATGTCTTGCTGCACCGTCTCGCTCTCACTTTGCGTGTGTGGTTGTTCTTTGCACACACACACAATTTTGTTTTCTTATTTTTAATTGTTATTATCACATCTTTTTATCATAATTGGTGTTGGCTTAATAAGCTCCACTCACAAAATCTCATTTGTCGAATATTTATACGATTTTTGTACACATACTTTTCGTATATTCCAAAACTCACAGAATTTTATTATATCACTATAATATATTTATTAATAAAAAAATGGATACCAAGCAAAGCATCGGTGTTGCAGCTTTTTTCTTTTTTTTTTCTTTTTTTCCCTCCCATCATTCTTGCTACATCAATGTGAGTTTTGTAACTTGTTCCTAACCCCATTGTCTATTTTTTTTCGGTTTCCCTCCCGCCTCTTCAAGTCTTGGGTTTTTAACGATCTTTATATATATATTTGTTTGTCTGTTTTTTTTATTTAATTTACTTGAGTGTTGCTTCTCGCTGCGTTTGCACTGGAGTTGCTTCTTCGTATGTGCTTTATTGTTATCAAGGTGTTTTAGAAAGATAATTTACAAAAAAAGTATATATAAACTTTTTTTTTTTTCAAAAATGTGATACTACATTTAGCTCGACAAATAAAGTGCTTGCTTATTTCC